GGAGAGGGAAAGAACGGAAAAGAAGAGAAAAGAAAGGGAAGGAGAAAGAGGAGGAGAGAGATAGGAGGAAGTGAGGCTTAGACTGATGGAGGAGACGAAAGGAAAGAAGTAAAAAAATAGATAAATAAATAAATGAATAAGATAAAAAAAGGAAAATGGAAGTGGAGGAATTAGAAGAGGTGAATAAGAGTAAGAGTGAGAGTATGTAAATGAGGACAAGTGAGGGACAGTGATAGGAAAGGGGAGAGGGAGAGGGAGAGGGAGAGGGAGAGGGAAAGGGAGAGAAAGAGGGAAAGGGAGAGAAAGAGGGAAGGAGGGAGGGAAGGAGGGAGGGAGAGGGAGAGGGAGAGGGAGAGAGAGAGAGAGAGAGAGAGAGAGAGAGAGAGAGAGAGGAGAGAGAGAGAGAGAGAGAGAGAGAGAGAGAGAGAAAAGAGAAAAAAAAGAGAGAGAAAGAGATAAAACAAAGAGGAAGACTGAAAATAAAAATTCATGCAATACACAAGAAAAAAATAAACCCATACAACAGCAGACCAACCAACCAACCAACCAACAAACAAACAAAAGCAAACAAACAGCTAAAAAACAAAATAACAAACAAAAACAGCTCCCAACAAACCACAGACAAGGACACAGAACGATAAGCAAAAGATAAACGGATAAAAAGCTTAAACAAATAAACAAGTAAATAAAAAACAAGAACACAAACACGAGGTAATCCGGAGGGATTTTTGCGGATTTTCGGCGGATTAACAACAAACCAATCCAATGAGGGAGAGGGAGGGAGGTAGGGAGAGAGGGAGAGGGAGGTGAGGGAGGGAGAAAGGGAGAGGGAGAAAGGGAAGGAAGGGAGGGAGGGAGGGAGGGAGGGAGGGAAGAGGGAGAGGGAGGGAGAGGGAGGGAGAGGGAGGGAGGAGGGAGAGAGGGAGAGGGAGGGAGGGAGGTAAAAGGGAGAGGGAGATTGGGAAGGAAGGAAGGGAGGGAGGGAGAGGGAGGGAGAGAGAGAGAGAGAGAAAGGAGGAAGAAAGAAATAGAGAGCGAGAGAGAGAGAGAAAAAAAAGGAGGAAGAAAGAAAGACCGAACAACAAACGAAAAAAAAAGTCACCAGTCAAGAAGCGAAGAAATAAACACACACACACAAAACAACCAACGAAAGGTGTGGACAGATAATAAAAAATAATAAAAGTGGATAAGGAAGTCGAGGGGAGACAGGTAGGGCGAGAAGGCAAGGGGAGAGCCGAAGAGGGATGGAAAATCAATATGGCCGCCCAGGTAGGGAGAGGGGAGGGGAGGGGGGAGAGGGAGAGGGGAAAGGGGATAGGGGAGAGTAGGGAGATGGGGAGAGGGGAGGGGAGGGGGGAGGAGAAGGGAGGGGAGAAGAGAGGGGGAGGAGAAGGGAGGGAGGAGGAGAAGGAAGACGGGAGGGGAGGGAGGAAGAGAATGGAGACGGGAGGGGAGAAGAGAGGGGAGGGGAGGGAGGAGAGAGGAGGGGAGGAGAAGGGAGATTGGGGGAGAGGGTCAGAAAGGAACAATAAGGAGGCAACGATCACATACGCACGTACACGCACATAAACTTACGCACAGAAACCTGAGTGCATGTGTGCATACACATACCGGCTGAGTGTATGAACGTATGCATGTATACGAACATACAAAGTCATATATATATATATATATATATATATATATATATATATATATATATATATATATATATATATATATATATATATGTATGTATATGTATGTGTGTGTGTGTGTGTGTGTGTGTGTGTGTGTGTGTGTGTGTGTGTGTGTGTGTGTGTGTGTGTGTGTGTGTGTGTGTGTGTGTGTATGTATATATATATATATATATATATATATATATATATATATATATATATATATA